TTCACAATTTAACATGTTATGACTGGATATGTCAACATGCCCACGTTATTAAACCAATATAGTTGTCATGTCTTCTCAGCTTTTATTTCATTTGATGGGGAGCAGGTCACCATTAGAAAAATTTGGCCAGCATCTGTTCTGTTAAATAGCTTTTGTCATTTCTCTGGTTTCTTTCCAAAGGCTGTTTCAGAACAACTGCCGTAACAAGTGAGAGTAAAGAAGTCTGTTGGGGAGATGTGAGCCTCATTTCTGTAGAGAAAGGAATCAGTATCATTTTCATTATAATATATCACTCTTCAGTTTCTCACTACAGTGCTGTACTCATGCGTATTGTCTGTAGATGTGTGTGTGTTGCATTACAATAGCTCATGTTTTACACTTTCTCTATAAATCTGGGGTGATTTTAACAACTTGTCAGTTTGGGACACATTTCAAGAATCCAAAGAGACTCTCGGTTTAAAAATTGCACTGCAGTTTGGAGGTTATTGCATTAAATGAAATCCCCTGCTGCAGTCAGAAAACAGTGAGCACGTGGCTTCTCTAAGTCTGCGATGTATTAACATTTTAATGTGGTGAACAATACAGTGCAAATATGTTAATGAAAGTACATTTCTCTCCTATGCATGGAAGCCATTTGGCAGTTGAGATAAGTGTGCTTATCTGAAACTGTTCACAGATGTTTCTCTGTGGGGAGCACAGCGAACGAAATAAAATGACTAAATTAAATGATTTAAGTTCATAGATGAAATGTTTGATATTCGTCTTCATTGTGCATCATAAATTGATTCAGGAAAAATAATATATTTCAGTTTAAAATGATCAGTTGTATCAATTTAGAAATGGATCATGTATGTCTTAAACACAAGCTCCAAAAACACTACAAAAATCATTAAAAAGTCAGTTCAGCTTCTGCACTATTTTCCAAACCTTCTCAAGTCTCTAGATGTGGGCCTCGCTGGAGGAGAAGATTATCAGTCAACAGAGAACTGAAATCATGTCATCACACACAGTAGGACTGCAGACGATTTGGAAAATGGCACACAAGATTATTGACCAATATTATGATCGATAATCACCCATTTAGAATCATTCAAAATGAAGTGAAAAGATCTGTGGCACTGATCTTAGTGACAGATCTTGGTGAACTACACTCTTCACTACGACCATGAAGTGACTTCATAATCTAACTGACTAAAAGTCATTCAAGCCTATTACGATCAAGCCTTAATCGGTAGTTGAATCTGTGCTTGTATGGACTGTTTTCTAGTTGCACAACAAGTTTGCCATCAGTATGTGTGAGTAAAACTGAGTGCATTTGGTGTCTTTGCATTAGTGTGTTCTTGCAAGAAGCTTTCTGTAAATAAGACTGCTTGGCGTTCTTTGCTTTAGATAATTATGTGTGAATGAAAAGCAAACATGACATTGTAAATGTGATCTCCTGACACCTATGAGAGAAGCGCTTTTCCTCGTGGGCTCAGTAAACTTCGAGGAACTGTTATCGGATGAGGAAATACTCCTGATCCTGTAACATACCGCCTTGAATTGTCTGTCATGCCCACAATGACCTAAAACTGCATTTTGATTGGTCACTGATTGGTCAGTGTAGATCAGGTCCAGATCATGTCCTCATTAATGAAATTTACACAATTATGCATTGCTGATACTTATCAAACTAGTTCGGGCTGGTTAGGTATTTGTTGTTTAAAAATAACACAAAATCAAATTAACACTATTTCTTTTCTAAACTGACAGTGGTCTTACTGTGCATGAACATGCTCACACTGCAGGTTTATGTATAAATAGTTTACACAATCAAAATTATTGATTTAATCAGTCAAGAACTTATAAAAAGTAATGTTGTATAAAATCAAGTAACACGTGGGCAGAAAAAAAAGGCTTACCAATGATCTCATATCCCATTTTTTACTGTTAAAGTGAATAAAACTGAGTCCACCTCTACATTATTTCCCACCTATTCCTCTTTTTCACTTAATATGTCACCTTATGGAAATAGAAAACATTGGAAATGCCAATTCATCTCTTTAAATGTGTGAAAAATGTGAGACACATCAAAGATTTAAGAAAACAATATGATCACATAAAGCCCTCTGAAATGGAGTGACATGTAGGGTTTTCTTTCCTGTATTATGGATAATTCTAACACTCAAGAAATGTATGATTGATAATAACTTAATGCACTCACAGTGGCCATTTCAGGTATGTATATATGCTATGTGCATCTCATGACTCAGGCCGATACGATACGCATCTCGATGCATAGCCAACGATACGATACATTAAAGATACATATGAAGCAGCTACCGATGCGATGCGATACGATTCACCCCTGTTACGATGCAGTGTGATCCGATTTCGATTCGATTCGATTCAACACAATGCGATTCGATGCCAGGCTTATTTCAGTTAGTCTGACTCATTGTCAAATGATTTGGTTCCATAAAGCAAATTTAACAACTTATGCTGGGAAAATAACCTGGTCTAAAGCAGGTTAACTATCAGACTAAGCTGATTTCCTCTAACACTGACCAATAGGAACGCTATTATTTGACTTTTTTTTTTTTACAGTTTCTAGCCAAGCAGAAAGGCTCTCTCTGGTTTTATGACAGCTGTACCTTTGCAGAACAGATAGCAGAACAGAACATTACAATCTAAAACTGCTCTTTAAAGCATTAAAATAACTAAATTAAAAGTTGAATAATTAAAATTAAAATAAATAATAAAGAAAATGACTTCTAAACTGCTATAAGAAACACACATTAACTCATTTGAGCTTAGTAATTAGTACTGAACTAGCTTACATCTGATTTACCCATTACAATAGTCAACTTACAGTTACTGCTATCATAAAAATACACTTATATGAAGGTTTAAAATTCTACAAAAGGCACATTTAATGTCCAACAACAAATATTTTAGCAAAATGTATATGTATATACTCAGAATTATTGCGCTCCCATTCGATTGCACGACCGTCTGTTTTGTGCGCATGCACTCGTTCACTCCTGACAGCAAAATGGATATATTTGCATGACTTTCTAACATTTACAGATGAAAAATATACCTGTGACATGTCAGTTATTCACTGAGGAAAACACAGTGTCTCAAATGTATTAAACAGCATGAATATGTTCACTGTTTGCCATGGTGGCTCGATTTGATCCATGATCGACATTAAGGGCTGCTTAAGAATAAGCGTGCACAAATTTGTGCACCCGATTGATTTGTTCGGTTATTTCAAAGTCAGGTTTTGGTCTTTAGTCCCAGTTTTTTCTCGGGTCTCCGTGTTGTTGTGATTCATCATATTCACGCAGCAGCAGCGGTGATGAGAGAACGCGCTTGAGAAACAAATACATAGATCACAGATTATTGAATCGTTTTTTACCGATGCAAATATGTTAGAAACGATGCATCGCGATACAAATGCCGACTTGTAGCCGATGCACACTTTTCATCGCATCGTTAACTTTTTATGCCGATGCACCGAGCGAATCGGGGAATCTTCCCATCCCTAATATATGCAATTCAGTCCTCCACATCCTCCCATATTATATATCAAAAGTATAAGTCAACGTGTAGATTAAAGTTAATATGTGCTGTCAAACTTTAGTTTGGGGTCCAATTCTCACTATTATCTCTTAACGATGACATTTGCCTCTATAAACTCCTAATTTGCTGCTTATCAATAGTTGTTAAATTTTGGTATGGGGTGGATTAAGGGATCTAAACTCTGATCATGCAGAATAAGGCATCGATATGTGCTTTGTAAGTACTAATAAACAGCCAATATGCTAGTAATATGCATGCTAATAAGATAGTTAATAGTGAGAATTTGTTCTCAAAATAAAGTGTTACAATATGTGCATATCAGATGTGGTGACATGCAGAATAATGAATATAGATTATGCATGAAAAACAATGGGAAATGAATTGAAACTTTAATTGAAGCGTTTGGTTTTTACGAGAGACAAATCCGCTCCCAGAAAGTTATGCTGAGATGAAGCCTGCTCACATTTCTGCAGAAATGAAGGAAAATCACAGAGTAAGAGAAATGTTTGGAGATTTATAGCTGAGGAACCCAAAGAAAATATTCATAATCCCAGCATGCTTTTACACATGAGCCACAGATTAAAGCTGCATTGAAATAAACGAGCAGGGATACGTTTTTTTCTGTTAATTTTTCTAAATGTGCCCTTGGTTTTGAGGGCTTCCATGGGTTTCTGTTTTGAGGGAAACATAAAGTGAACGGATTCACCCCTGCTGGGTCTCATTTCAGGCCGGGGTTTGGGGAGGGATATGCAAATGATATGCAAAAAAAGCTGCAGCTGTAGGCTCGAGCTCACGCGCTGGACTGTTGACTGAGGCATCTGAGCGCTCGCAGCCACTCCTGCTTTAGTATTCTGCTACTGCTGCCCTGCCGCTCCGTCTTTCCTCTTTGCTTTCTCCTCTGTCTGTCTGTCTCTCTCTCTCTCATGTGAGTGGTAAAGTGGGCAGGATGGTGCCAGAACAGCAGATGTTTCGATTGCAGCACTGCTTGCCCGCCAACAACTGAAGTCAGTGCTCCAGAGGAACCTTGTGGGACTCAGCAAGGAAAACAAGCAACACTTGACAACCTCCGGACCCTAAAGCCCAGCT